TGTGTGTGTGTGTGTGTGTGTGTGTGTGTGTGTGTGTGTGTGTGTGTTGTAGTGTATCTGTGTTAAATGAGCGCACACCCTGCACTGCTCCAGCGGTGGACCTTGTTTCAACCCATTACAGGCTGTAGAGACAACTCTGAGGTCAAAGGTTGCAGCACCTCAATAACAGCGAGGAAGCAGATGAACGCTGTAATCTCAGCCGTCCTAATTAAAAAGGTGGAGGTTAAAAGGTAGATGGGGTAAAACTAACCTGCTATGACTCAGACTGAGGAAGTTTTCCTAAGACTGAGATACAAAACAAACCTGTCATGAGTCTTTAATGTATTTAAAGGATGTTTTTATGAAAGTGCAGACACAGCACACAGACACAGGCAATTTTGTAGACATTCATTCATTAGTCTCGTGAGTACCGTATGTAGCCTTGTTATAGTCCAGTGGTTTGGATACACATGTTGCTGCCTTGTAGCATTTCCATTTCTACTGAATATGATAGCTCTAATCTTCATGGCCTTGTAAAGTTCCCATACAGTAAATCCTTAAATATACTGAAATGCATGCCGCTAGCCCCGCTGTGTGCCACAGCGTCTCTTTTGGTCCCACCGATAAAACATCTCATGGTCTAAGTCCTACACATAAACACATCAGCTGGGACTTGGCAGAGGCTGTCAAGAGATCCACACGGACACTCCTCTTTACTCATAATGCAGTTATTACTATTATAATATAGATATCGTATAATATATAAGACAATACTAAAATATTCTTCTTTATTTTTACGTGTCTTTATTTTTAATTGAGTATTTGAGCGGTGTATGATATTTTGATTGCTTTACTTTTTAATGTAGTCCTACTGTAGGCTAAGTTTGCAATGTGCAGTGGCATGTAGTATGTAAAAAATGTGTTACAAATGTAATAGTAAAAAGTTTGGGTTGGAATTACCAGAAACAATCAATATTAGTAGGATTGGAGGCAGAAACAGGTGATTATGAAATCTGTGTTCTGGTCTTTTTTTAGTTTTAGCCTCATCCGTGCTTCTCCAAATTTGAAGCTAGTTACACTTCAATGCTTGGACACGTGTGTGTGTGTGTGTGTGTGTGTGTGTGTGTGTGTGTGTGAGTGTGAGTGTGAGTGTGTGTGTGTGTGTGTGAGTGAGTGAGTGAGTGAGTGAGTGAGTGAGTGAGTGAGTGGCACTGGCACCGTGTGTAGATGTGTGCGTGTTGAGGAAGACCCGCGTGAGCTGCGAGCCCATCGCAGACAAACGGACGGTCTTCTACCTCATCGGCAGCATCAACGTCGACAAACCTCGAGCGCCGCGTCTGCTCCCCTCCTCTTCAAAACAACCAAAACAAAACGCGTCCGACACTAAAAAGCAGCCACCAGCAATTATCCAGTCATTTGGCCCTAAGCTCTCACATGCTGAATGAATTTATCCTCCCTGTTCTCCCTGTGGTGGAAAATAGTGATGTTAATTCATATGCCATGGGATTGGTAGCCACACAAAGACCAAAGACCAAGTGCTTCCACCTTGGGCGATTCTGTGAGTGATTATGTCTACTGCTGCTTGTGGGGGACCAGCGGCCACTGTTTGTGAGAACCGCATTGCTCCGTTCCAGGGGAATCCTGCTCTGGCCCTATTCACACTGTTGGAAATGTGTTTCGTTTGATATGAGTTCAAAGAGATTCTAAAGTTGCAGGTCTCGCTTTAAGTCCGGGTTCAGTGTGCTACCTGTGAGTTGGGTGGATCAAAGTTCTGCTCAAGATTTCAAAGCCCAACTCTCCTAAAGAGACAGGTTTTTGCAAGTGCATTAGGACCTTTAGTGTGACGTGTCTCTGCAGTCTGTCTCTCTGGATACATTATTTCTTGTCACATGGAATAACGTGTTATTTTGGATATTTGATTGAAATTCACTCCAACGTTTGCTCCCTTTTTTACGCCATGTTTAGGTTATATGCATACATGGACTGTTGTGAGAGTGCATACACCTAGATTTACTGTGTTTCTGTTGCTTTGTGTGTGTCCAGGAATTGTGCATGCATGCACGGTTGTGTTGTGTAAGTATGCGTGTGATTGGAGGAGATTGAGATTTGCATGGGCTGAAATGCAAACACACTCCTGAGAGAAATCCATGGTCCAGTGCTACTGCTGTCCTGGTCCCGGGACCTTTGCTCAAAATACATCAATACAGCAGCTGTTGTGGTATTACTGGGAAATGCTACTTATGGACAGGGAATATCCCATACTGGTAAAGGCTGGAGCTTTCTCCTGTTCTGGAGACCTGCTGTACCATGCATGACTGAGTTCTGTGATTCTACAGTTTTACTGTACAAGGCCCTGGAGCTAATCGAATGGCTAATGTAACCAAGTGCTGGTAGTAGCCTTGTAATAGGCTTGCTGTGTTTCCTTGCCATGGTGGAAGTGAGATCCTTGTACCACCATGTTTAAGTTCCTGGCATTTTGTATTTTATAGATTAAAGATCAAAATAATTGTGTGAAGTATACTCAACACTTTAAAGGTGTTATGTCCCACGGTAGCTACTATATGTGTTCTCTTTGCTACATTGCTAACGTACTAATTACATTCCAGGGTAACACAGCAGGACCAGCTTACAGTACATTTATTGTCTGATGGACTTGTCAGTCTTCCTCTCCATGGCTAAGAACTGGACTGGCTGATAGCTGCTAATACTTTCCATATACAGGAGAAATGGTGAGCACGGACAGTATAGTGTTTCTTTCCTGTATTGCACAGAAGAGAGTACTTTGCCTGTTCTGAGATCACATAAAGGAGCTGGTTTTTCCAGTCATTTTATGGTTGAACAGTTTTAAGTGGGCTCCTTCCCTGTGGGCCGCAGCACAGGTGCTGGCTGTGTCAATTGTTTACAGAAGTTCAGAGCGGCGCGATGGCTCGCAGAGAGACGGATTGGGGGCCCCGGACTCCGGTGCGAGGCAAGAAGAGGTAAAGCAAGTGTAAGAGAGTGCAAAGAGAGAGCGAGACACTCTGACACGGGTAAATTAGATCCAGAGAGGGAAATAGCAGGAGGTAAAGTGACTGTTTTACTGCCCAGGCTGCAGGTGCGACGGCAGCTTACCGAATGACCCCAGAACCGCAAGGCACACACACACACGGCCACATTCATGCACGCAAGAAAAGCAGCCAGGCACACACCCGGGCTCCGACAAGCACACGCATGCATGCAGGGCCACGCACAAATGTCACAAACACACATTGCGTTGATGAGTCGAGTTTATATTATGTCATCCTCTCTTCCTGCTACTCTGTTTGGTCAAGGCAGCAAACTCATGAGAATTTTTGTCAATTGGATTATGCTACTGCGTGGACGGGCCTGTGTACAAGTGGCAGAACAGTTCACCAATTCATATAAATATTTTCATCAACAGCACCATTTAGTTCTGCCCAATTATGGGTTCTGTTTTTCTGGGCCAGGCGTGTAGATACAGGAAGACAAACATTTGGTTTGGAAAATAAGGGGAAAACATTAAAGGTTTATATGTTTTAACTTGTAGCGACTGTGTTTAACAGTACATGAGAGGAATGAATAATGCCATTGGTCCAGTGGTTAGGAGGATTTACTGCTGTATATTTTCCTATTTTATGGTTGAAACTCCCCCGTCTGTAATATTTTGAGTTCTTTCTTACTTGGTTGAGTAATGACCTTAGCATGTATGTTTTTCCTGCGAAGCTTCTGTTTCTGGGCGTCACTGTGGCCATTAGGAGGTACCGGTAACACTGCAGGATGGCTCCCCCAGCCCTGCTGAAACCCAATCTTTCTCTCTCCCGCCTGCTGCATCCCTCCGCCTCTCCACCACACAAAGCCACCGGCCCCCACATTTCCCCCCCACCAATAAACAATCTATTTCTATATTCCTGTTTCTTTCCATTTGTACAAAATAGAATTCTCAAGCCTTTGCTCTCCATCACCACAAACTTTCAAAGTGCCTGTCTCATTCTATTCATATCCCGTAATGCATTCAAAGTTTGAATGTAAGTGATGACATAAACTGCAGCCATCACACTATAAAGTGTGTTTTCACACACTTTGTTGTTTTTTTTTTCTTTCTTCCCAAGACCATAGTTCCACTGTGCCCTCAATAACTCTTGTCTTGTATAAATATGTCTAAAGTTCTGTGTTTTGTACGTGTGAAGGCATGTGTATGCTAATCCAATGAATCTCATGTACGTTGAATTGAACGCGCCGCCGCCTCGGTGGTTTTAAGGGGCTTGGGAGGGATACGTTTAAGGCACTGTGTGCATAGTTTTGGGTTAAACGGGACTTTTGCATCTGAGTGGAGAGCTCTTCAGAGATTCATAAATCCACCCAGGATTGTGGCGCTGCTCAGGCATGGCGAGGAGTAAAAATGTTTTCTTATGGATATTTAGCTTCTTTTTACTTTACATGTCTGAAGGAATAGAAAAATAACACGTCAGGCCCTCATCTTATTTACGAGCCAATGAGGATGGCAGGGGTCAGTGGTATTGAGCCCAGACCTTTAGGGAATGTGGGTCTGGACTTTACTTTTTTAAGTTGTCTCGCTATTTTAGTAGACTTATGCTAATATAGCTACTATGTGTCTGAGCTATTTGTAATTTGGTATGCTTTTTGTGCATCTTTTTGTGCAGTTTAAGATGTTCCTCATGTGTTTGTTTATGTGTTCTTCAGGTTATGTGCAGAGTCTGATCCGGCGCGTGGTGAACAACGTGAACATCGTGGTGAACAACCTGATCCTCAAGTACGTGGAGGACGACATCGTGCTGTCGGTCAACATCACCTCTGCGGAGTGCTACAGCGTGGATGATATGTGGGAGAGGGCCTTCACGGACATCACTGGTGAGCAACGGCTGCTTACATTCCCTGATAGTGGGATTAACTAGTAAATCCACTGAGACAAGAACCTATATACGACAGTAAGTGTTTCATGTTGTTAGTTCAGACTAAGGTCGAACTGACGGATCAGACAAGTTTAAACATTCATGGGTCTGTGCGTAAATGGCCAGAGTCTGCTGCCAGAGTAGTCGGTCTCCCCGGTCTGATTGGAACATGTGCAGGTCCAGTGCAGAGTGGGCTGTGAAACAGAATAGAGCTCACATTTAAAACCATAATAGATGAGCGAGGTGGGGGATGTTAAACCTCAGCATGCCATATGGAAATAGAACAGTAAGAAGTATAATCCTTGCGGGGCCTTGCTTTTGATGGCTCCATGGTTAATGTGTTATGTTTTTAATTCTTCGAGGTAGAGATACTAATTACTTCTTCTCCCTATGCCAATAACAATCCCTATCAGTTGCATATTATTTCTCATAACTGGACAATGATTTGTGGATCCAGCCATTCCCTCCAGTAGTGTTAGCTGCAGACATTTAACATGGAGAGCCACAGACTCCACTGAACTCTTTGATTCGTCACATTGTTGTGTTCTGTATGAAGTGCCTAAGCTTTCCTTTGAAATCCAGTTGTTCTTTAACTATGCAGAGCTAACAGGGCGCTTTAGGTCACACAAGCCTGGCATCTTAGGCTTTTCCTGAAACTTGATGTTAATGTTCCACAACGACGATCAACTTTTCAAATCTTCAAAGGCTGTGTTTCTTCACTGCGACTGTACTGTAGGCCTATTTCCCTTCTCTGTAAAGGGTGTATTGTGTTTGGAAGCCATGGCGTAGCTCAGACTCCGTGGTTTCTCAGGTTACTGTCAGAGAATTACAATTATTTCAAACTTGAACTACCGGAAAGAGCTGCTTCTTCACAGGGAGTCGCAAAAGCCTACATCAACAGAGAAATCACGGAGTGGTCATTTTCTGTCACTGTTATCACTGTGGAATTTCTTGTTAAGGGGGGCCCCATTCCAACATGTAAGGCAAGTAGTGGTTACAACAGTAGTTACTGGCACTGTGCAGAGAATGAAATATTTCTGGGAATGATGAGTGGTGTTATCAGGCTGCCAGGCGTGAGTGAGTCAGTGACAATTGAGTAGCTGATGACGCATGCACACAAAAGCACAAACCACTTGGTTGTACAACAGTTGCATAACACAACAGCTCTGTGAGGTCTGCTGAGTGTCATCTCCACTGCTTCCCTAGATCACAGACACTGAGGATTTACTGTCACAGCATGCTCTCTGTTTGTATTAGTTTGTGTTTGATGATACCTCTGTGCACGTACATGTCTAATGCATGTACGTTGACATGTTTGATTAGTGTCAACCTGTTTTCAATGCAGACTTATATGCGGTAATTTTGTCTGTTTTTTTTCCTCTGTGAAGCTCCAGAGCTGGTCCTAAGGAAAGTGATCAACTTTGCAGACTGTACCGTGTGCTTAGACAAGCGGAATGCCAGTGGCAAGATCGAGTTTTACCAGGACCCGCTGCTGTACAAGTGCTCCTTCAGAACGCGTCTGCATTTCACCTACGACAACATCAATTCCAAGATCCCATCCGTCATCAAAGTGAGCGGCAGTAACATAAGTCATTATCTTCCCAGAGCCCAAGATCCAGAACAAAATGGTTTTGTGTGGGTCGATCTGATGTCTTTTTGGTATCGTCCAAACATGTCACACATTCTAGTGATGGAAAAGTTAAGCTCACAGTTGTTAAGAGGAACAATAGGCCTACTTCTGTTAGGTTAGCTGCTCTCAAGTCAATAGCAGGATAGTGACTAAGTTCAGTCCATTGTTATGGATACGTATGGAAGACAGCTGTTTGTTTTTGCAAGAGTTTACTTCCTGTAAATACTGATGTCACTGTAGTACCATCAGTATTTGGGTTTGACTAGAGTGACTTTTTAAATTTTGGTCTGCTTATCTGAAAAATGGCACTTTGTTTCAGTCTGTTTGGTTTGCAACAAAGCAGCCCTTGGGAAGAAAATGCTTTTCCTATCTTGGCCAAGTTGATCAATGTTCAAGAACTAGTCAACCATGTTGACGTAATTGAGAACACCCAGTCTAGATAACGATCTCATGTCATGAAGCACCGCTGATGTTTAGAATATCTGTAATTAGCTTAATTTCAATCTATGTAAACTATTTCTGATGGAAAAAGTAATCTTCGGCGGATGCATTTTAACCTCTTAAACCGGAGGTTAAAATCCGGACATTTATGATCTTTTGCACAGTCTCGCCTGAACATTTACTGCAATTTACTGTCTTTCTTCATGTTTGTTCATCTTTCCACTATAATGCTACATCATGGTACATTTAATTCGCTCCCATATATCTGTTTTGACTCATTCTGTACATGTAGTCAGTACAGTAATCAGCTTTGTGGTTTTCATGGTGTCCTGTCAACAGAACCACACATCTAGAGTAGTTGTTTTACAGCATGTTAAGCAATAGCATTGGTAAGTCCACTTTTGACTGTATTCCACTGTTATTAAAATGTATAAAGACTGTATAGTACAAAATGTATAATACAAACCCCTAAAGTTTTCCAGTAAAAACACACATTTCATCTATCATGTTTCCATTTGGACCTGACCTCTTTCATCCTGACATTGTTTTAATATTATGGGCTGTATGTACTTCCCTCTTGTTACTCTATACAGTACATTTACTTGCATTCAGGCCATACTTTGTGGTTTGTAGCTGTCGGTTATCACTTTGTTTACCAGGAGCAGAAATTACATCCTCCACATGCAACTCTCAGTGAGCCAGAGGGGGATCCACACCAGCTCTTACAGGCCTGGGGCAGCTCTACCCTTTTTTTATTAAGCATTCCTGTTCACATTAAGCATGTGTTTATAATCATCTAAATGTATAATTTAAACAGTAACATCACTTACAATTTCATCTTCTCCATGTTTCCTCAGATCCAGACCATGGTGGAGAGCCTGAAGTTGTCCATTACTGATCAGCAGCTGCCCATGTTTATCCGCATTTTAGAGCTGATTATTGCCCTCTACTACGGGGAGCTCGGAGGACACAAAGAGGGCGAGGGGGAAGAGGGCAGTGTTCATGTCAGGGAGGCTGGAGCAATTTTACCTGGTGAGTTTATTTATTTATTGTTATCTGAAATAATCTGGAATGTTTTCAAAAGTTGTGAGCCAAGTTTTTTTTTTTTTTTTGTTTGTTTTTTTAAATTTGCCACTTGATGACTAGCAGATGACGATGAAGTCCATTACATTAGGTCAATTCATTTCTGCTCTTTATTTCACCTACAAGATGGTAGTTTTATGCCTGAGGGCCCCCCTTTCTGCTGTGCTGCTGTGCTGTAAATTTATGAACCAAGCAAACGACCTACACAGCAAAGCAAAATAGTCACATTATTTGGGCTCTTTCAAAATGCATTTCTAAATGATATATTGAGGTCTCAAAGGGACGTAGCGAGTGTGTCAGTGTAGTTCCCGTAGCAGTCATATTTCGCAGACAAAATGTGGTTGAAAGCTCTGAAGTGGTTAATGAGCCATTCGACCGTGCACAAAGCTTTGAAGCTTTTCCTCTGACAGCGTTTTCATCTGCACGTTGCCTCGTTCTCTTCAGAGGGCTATGTCTGACCAATGCGCTGCTGCTGTTCCTAAACGGGACATTTAACATCACTTTGACCGTGCTGTTGCGCTCCTCCTGCTTTTTCCACAAACAAAAGCTGGAGCGTGTAACTCAACACAGACCGTTGTCGTCAGGCCTGATCCCCTCCATGTGGATGGAGGCAGGCAAGAGGAGGATGACGGGAAGACACGGGGACGAATCAAACACAGGCCCATCTCTGGTTCTCTGATGGGAGCACCGTTAGAAATCACACCCCCCACATCCAGGAGCTGAGCAAAACACATGCATGCAGCCGGTTTCTGGCGCACCACATACAGACCCACACAATATCACACATAGACTATATACTTACCTCAGTCCAGAAATGCCCATCTC